GGGATTCATCTTCATATGGCTCTTTGTTTCATGTGTCCTTTATTTTGTCATCTCTTTTGTATAATTCAGGGGTAGGCAACTTTTCCCCTTTAAGGGCCAAGGGACTTCAGCTCCCAGAATCCCAGGAGTTATTGACCAACATGGTACTATTGGCCAACATAGCTGAGGCTTCTGGGAGCTGAAGTCCCTCGGCCCTTAAAGGGGAAAGGTTGCCTACCCCTGGTATAATTCTTCTGTGTATTGCCCTTTATTTTGTCATCTCTTTTGTATAATTCTTCTGTGTATTGCATCCAATGTCTTTTTATTCCTTCCTGGTCGTGAATTATATTATTTTTGTTGTCATAGAGTGTCCCAGTCCTTGGTTTGAATTTTCCTTTGACTTCCCGGATCTTGAGAAGCAGATCTCTTGTTCTTCCCTTTCTGTTGTTGCCTTCTATTTCTCTGCATTGGTCATTGTAGTAACTTTCTTTGTCTCTCCGTCGTACTGTTGCATTCACAATTCTAGTCTCCAAATACTGCAGGCAAGAGAACAGAAAGAGACAGTGATCTCTCAGTTAAAATGCTAAATAAAAGGTTAATAGAAAAACAGAGAGGTCCGCACCAAAATGGCCAAGGGAAAAGGTTTGTTCTCAGAAGGATGCAAGGATGCTGGATTGCAGCAGTTCAATTGGGAGATCATCTGTTGCTGCGATTTTCTATTATTGTGCAGCTTCCACCTGGCTTTTTTCCCCCAGAATCTGGGATTCATGGCTGGCTCTTCGTTGCAGGCATCCTCCTTCCTTCTTTTTGTCCTCTCTTTTGTGCGATCCTTTCTGTGCATTGCACCCAGAGTCCTTTTTAATTCTTTCCTTTCCAAGGATTCCCTATGGGCTTGGAAGAAGAAGAAGAGGAGAGAGAGAGAGAGAGAGGTGGTTCCTCCTGCCACTGGCTCTGGGCATCAGCAGCATCCTCCTTCATCCCTGGATGCCAGCCCAAGCCTCCTCCCTCCCTCTTTCCTCCTCCTCCTCCTCCTCCTCCTGGCATGGTCCCCTTATAAGAGCCCTGGGATGCGCT